GGCTTGTGCCGGGGGCGGGGGTCCTACCCCCCCCAGCCACTCTGTTCCTGTGTTCTGTATTGGGTATTGTGCTTGTCAGTGATGGTGCTGGTAGCCTTCTTTTTGGAGACAGTTTGTGTATTGCTAGTGGGAAACATGACACAGTTTGAGTGCTCCCAATATAGACTGTGTCAACAGTTGGATCTTGTGGAATACTTGGACCTTAGAGATACTGCTTCCAAGATGTTCAGAAACAGAGAGAGCCTTAACCAGGCAATCTAGAAATATTGATTAATAGTACTACTGTAGTTTGCAGATTTCAAGAAAAATACTATCTTTAATACAGAGGGAAAAATAAATATTGTAGAAGTTAGTCTAAGTTAATCAATAACAATCAAATTGAAAATTAAAGTTAATTTTAAAGTTTTTCAAAACTTCAAGCAAAACGGTAAAATGTCTGAATGAAGGAGATGTCATTCACTTGAAAAATCCATCTCCTGTTGAACAATTCATCCTATGTATGTCTAAGTCAAAAACATAGTTCCTATTTTTGACTTTAGTTTCTACCTAAAAGTTAAGGGGTTTCTTAGGAATTTGATTTCCAGCATTCTGTGTGAGGAACCCATGTAATCAGTAGAAAACATGCATCATTTTAATTGCAGTTTGACTTTCTACTAGAACCAGACTTAAAGAATTGCTGTTTAAAGTAATTGCTTTGGGAAGTAAATGAGCCTGGCAATACATGGGTAATACTTTGACATTTCCTTGTAATTAGAATAATTTTCTGGAATTTTTCTCTGGAGAACATTTGAAGATTTTTGTCACTTAATGGTATTGTAATTCCTATTGTTTTTCTTATATTTGTAAAGAAAAAGGCAGATTTGGGGAGTTAATGGAGTTTATATAGTCAGGTAGTCTGTCCTTCAGAGAAGAAACGGCTTCCTACTGAAGTACAGTTTACTTAACTTGACATGTCCAAGGTTCATAGTAATTCCTGAACTTCTAATGTATCTCAAGATGTATTTCAAGGTGATTCCAGTCTAGCAACAATTATACTAATAAATCTTTGCCTACATTTTGAAAAAGATGTACAAAGTGTCTTACCTTTCTGTGGCTTCTTAGAGGCAGCATATGTACACATGTGTACATGTTTCAGTGCACTGGCAAGAAATAATGTAGTGCGACAGCACTTTAGTTTGGTTCAACCTTTGTACCTGACGAACAAGCAGGCAGCATAAAAAAAATAATAAAGCTAGAAAATCCTTAGCAAAAGATTGACTAGGTTGAGCAACTTCTTATAGTCATCTTGTATTTAATTGGTTCTGCAGCCAATAGGGAAGCCTAATAGTAGTATGCTCAAGTGTCAAGTTCCAGATCATGTAGAAGGCACTGAGTTAAAATGCCACAGGGAATTTACAAGCAAGTTTCATGCTAATCAATTCAGGAAATGCTCTAGACAGGAAAAAGACTTGCAGTTTGTGTGTGATCAGTCGTCAAATGAAGAAAATTTGAAGATACTTGCATACTGAAGTAAAGACCTCTCGTGGCTGGTTAAATTGTGTTAATTCTTAGTTGTGGTTTGGAAACATCAAAGGAGGAGCTGCAGGGTGTGATACATAAAGCTCGCTATTTACAAAGAATTACAAGCACTTAAGAGTACCTGTTATATGGGCTATAATTCAGGAAGAAATTCTAAAAGCAAATTATACTTGCTCTGATTTAAGAGCATGTCTATATGCAGATTGAATAAGGGATGATGCTGATAAAATACTATATCAAATTTTTTTCTTGTGTTGGTGCTCATCCTGTCTAGTGATCAGCATCAAACTACAAAATGGTTGTCTCCTCTCATTCTTTATTCTCACATATGTGGGTGTAGAATACCTCTGTGAGGTTATTGCCACTGTGATTGTTTGTATGTTTAATATCTCAGAACATTCTGTAGTTTTTCCAAGACTCATCCCTGATTCAGCTTCCTCTTCAAATTCATTGTAGTCATGAATTGCCATCCTGTGACAGGCATTGCTGATATTTTTATTGCCTCTTAGAAAAACTCTGTTTTAAACTTCTTTCAAAAGGTTTCTGCAAGAGAAGATGCATCGCAGCCAGATGAGTCATTTCCAGTCTCAAGGACACGTTGAATCACCTTGCAGTGTTTAGCCAGGGGTCCATGTCACATAAGCAAAAAAACTGCTTCAGTTAAAGAGGCTGCTCTGTAGTGTGTCCATACACACGTTGTGTTGGTGAGACTGGAGATGTAGGCTTTCTTTCCTTACTCTGCCATGCGCACTTACAAGTCTCAGGCATAGATGAGAAAAATCTAGCAGAGCTTGGAGACACCACTGGCCTCAGCAGCAGCACCTGTTTCCACATCGTATTTGGGAACACAGGAGAAATACAGCAAGCAGTGTTCTTCTGACCCTCCCTAAATACCCCAGTGATCTCAATGAAAAGGCATCCTGTTTGTACTTAAAGACAGGCTCCCTACAATCAGTACTGACAGGCTCTTCAGGTGAATTATGTCTATTGTGGAGTTTGATTCTCAAAATCACCAACTGTAACATTTTCATGAATTCTTGACTGCAATTTCTCTGCTTTCATTCTGTCATGTCTTCAGTGGGGCTTGATTTGAGAGAATCTGTCATTCACTGCTGAGACCTTCCAGTAGCTTTCATAAAAGCCCAGACTGAGGGGTGAGGTGTCTCCAATAAAGAAGTAACATGGAATCTCCCTGCCAGCTCCCAGTTCCATGCCTTCCAGAGGGTGTTAAAGCAAACTACTCTCATAGCTTAAGAACATGCTTCATGTAAAAAATTACTCCTTTTCAATACCCAGTGTAAAATAATTATCCTTTCATAAATAAGTGTACTTACAGTAAGGGCCTCTTCTTGGAACTGGATTCTCAGGAGGACATTCCATTTAATGTTATGTCACACCATTAAGTATTTCTTGGGCAGCCCCAGTGCACTCCAAGTTAGCTACAGAAAGTGGGAGATCATTCCTGCAATTTGTTTCCTCACCATCAGGCTCCAAAGCATCTTTGTAGCAAGGGTTGCTAACCTGACAGAATTTCTACTTAACATCCTCAGTTTCCTGGAGGTGATAGATCTTTCTAGAAGCCCACTGGAAGACTGGTTAGACTTCTGAATACCTTTTAAGAATTTCTCAGAAGTAGTGAAAACTGGGAAGAAATGCTGAGGGAGATGGCATTGCTTAATTTCTAGAAGAGAAGGCTTAGTGTGTATTTTATCAAAGTAAATACCTGATGGATGGAAGTAAAGAAAATGGAGCTGGTCTCTTCTAAGTGGCACTTAAGGACAGGATAAGAGATAATGGCCACAAGAAGAGGGCCACCAAAATGATCAAGGGATTGGAGCACGTCTCGTGTGAAGACAGGCTGAGAGATTTGGGGCTGTTCAGCCTGGAGAAGAGAAGGCTCCAGAGGGACCTTTTAGTGACCTTCCAGTACCTGAAAGGGGCCTACGTGAAGGCAGGGGAAGGTCTGTTCAGAAGGGTTTGTAATGTCAGCACAAGGAGTAATGGTTTTAAACTAGGAAAGGACAGATATAGACTTGATATTAGAAAAAGTTTTTTTTAACATAAGAGTAGTAGATCATTGGAATGGGCTGCCCAGAGAGGTAGTGGAAGCCCCAACCCTGGAATCATTCAAGGTCAGGCTTGGTAGGGCTCTGGGAGACCTGACCTAGGTAGAGATGTCCTGCTTGTGTAGGGAGGCTGGACCAGATGACCTCTCGAGGTCCCTTGCAGCCTAAAACATTCTATGAGTCGATGAAATTGGAAAACAGAAAATTCCGTTTAAATCTAAGAAAAAAACTTTTTACTGTAAGAGTGGCCAAACATCAAAACATTCCCCAGACAGGTTGTGGGGTATCCGTCTTTCAAGATTCTCAAATCCTGCCTGATCAAGACAAGTCATCTTACCACTGTTATAGAGTATCATCAAGAACTTGTATCTATAGAATGTGTTTTCTTCATGTTCATTCAGAAATCACATAGCAGCTTGTTTATTCCAGACTGCCTGCTTTTATTCCAGAAATTCTCTGACCGGGAGCAACTGAGAGGGAGTAGTATACTTTTGCCAATGTTGAGGCTTATCCAGGTGGACAGGGTGGAAGTGTTGGAGGGCACTCTGTGGGTACTTTAAGGGCAAAGAATTCTTCATCTTCTGGTTGCTATGGTGTGAATGTTTATATAACTAATCCAACTCCAAGAATATTAGATGCAAGTAGGTAACTCCTTTTTTTTAGAATCTGTGCAGTTTTTGTGTTAAAGGATCATGTCAGTGAGGCTGAAGGCATAGCAGAGTTTGGAACGGGTGCTTAAAGTAAACGTCAGCTATTAAATGTTGCAAATACATTCTATTTTTACAGCACAGAAAAGTTAATGCAAGCTGTAGAAGAAGATATTGAACGTGAAAAGGTTGCAGCAGATGACATAATAAAAGACATGTCACAGGAAGACCAAGCTAAATATATGGAGATGAAGGCTGCAAATGAAAAACTCTCCCAGGTTGGTTTCATTGTACTTACCTAACATGTTTCCCAGTCTGGCTTCACTGGTTCCAGGTGCAGTTCAAGGATTAAAGTGATGAGAATGGAGTAACACAATTTAAGAAGAGCTTGCTGGTGTCTTAATGAATCGTAGAAGTCCCTGAAAAGTAGATAGAGCAATTGACTAAAACTAAATACTTTGTCTTTTTGTATTTCTTAAAAACAAATTATATTCATAGTTTTCCTTTTAAATTTGGAGATTGACATGCTGAATTTAAAAGCCACTGTAGTGCTTAGATGTTTCATCATGTGTAAAATGCAAGCTAAATGGAATTCTTGCAGTTCACTTGAGTAGAAAGTTTTCTTCCTTTGTAAATTTTTTGTTATTTCACTAATCCTGATGTTAACAAAAGCATTAAGATTTCTAGGTTTTCTGGGATCATCTAGCTTCAGGCATAGAATCTTAGAAAGTTTATTTGTATAGTCTGAACAGAGAGATGGGCATGTTTTGAAGGCATTGCTTCCTTGCTGTCCTAGGATGAGCTGAATCAGTAGGCAGGGCTTACCTGTCTTTTTCTGGACTATGAAGAATCTGTGGTAGCTGGTTCAGATTTTAAAATCCGACTCTAAACTTATGAAATAGAAATTATAAATTGCACACACAGCACTGATTATAAGAAAAATAGTGGGAAAAGTGCAAACAATTTTTTGGTCATAGCCCAACTGCAAATAGCAAAGTTAAGAGTTGATTAGAAAAGCTGGGTGCTGAAGCTAAGTGGATATTATATCCAATTTACAGACTTGCCTTTTAAATTTAATTTGCAGCACTTAGATGTTTTAAAACATCATATAAACACTAAGTTGCAAAACGAAAACTTAATCTTATCATGTAATCATTTTCGTCTGAAATTTGCATTTTTTTCCTCCACAGGAACTGGTTGTTCAACAGCAGGAACTGGATGCACTACATGTAAAGGAGGAGGCCCTAAGAGCTGTATGTATAATATAAAGTGGTGTCTGTACCAGTCTTTGGTGAACTCTAGTGTAAGAAATAATACAGTAGAAAAATACTTACAGTCTTTCTCCTTGAATTTTCAGGTAGTGTAGGATCATGCCCTAGAATAGGAAAGTAAATCTGCCTCTCTTGTTTTTCACCAATAACTTCTAATTATTTTGAGGTAAAGCTTTTTTTTGCTAGGCACCAAGTACCAAATTTTCATAGCAATAGTGAGGTTTCCTAGCTTTAGTTACTCATGTGGTTTCAAATGTTTTGTGTGTCATTTGGGTAACTTGGAATTACTTTCTGAAGATAAATGTGAAATTGTAATTCGCATCTGTCTTAAGGATTTGTGAGACCTGATTTTTCAGTGTGTTTTCAACTTTCAGATAAAGGGATCTGTGAGCTGAAATATTAAGTCATGTATATATTCAGAAAGTATAATTATCAAATATTACTAGACATTTTTTCCACTCCATTTGAATACTGTGTATGGTTTGTGATTGCCTAGAAATTATGAGTTAGTAAGTCTACTCAGAAGACTGGCCTGAGGATGGACTCATAAAACAAGCAGTAGCTGACTGGGATATTTCATTCCAGAAAATGCAATATGGAGAATATGGTTTATAAGGTTTCTTGGTTATATTTTCTCTGTACTGTTCATAACAAATAAGCTTCACTTTAAATCTATAGATAAGTGTTGCTTAAGTAAAGCCTAATCTTTGCAATTCTCTCTTGACATGTGAAAATAGCTGCTAGGTGTTTGCTTTTCCCAACAGGAAATAGCACATTCCCAGGTGAAACAGGAGGCTGTGCAGCTGTATGAAAAGCTCCATGAGCTGGAGGAACGTCGAGATCAAATGATTGCTGAGGATAAGAACATGGAATCTCCACAGGAGGAAAGAGAGAGATTACTAAAGCAGGTAGGAACAGAAAATGTTATCATGTAAAAGATTCTCTGAGTCAGTATTTTAATGGGTGATAATATTTGAAAATATTTGGGTTTGAGTCTTGCCTTTATTTTCTCTTTAAGCAGTGCAAGTCATCCGAGGTGAGGTGAACAAGTTAATGAATTGGCTGGATGGGTGCTTAAGGTTCAGCCAAAGCAAAACTGGCAGTCAGCTTCTCAGCTGGTTGACTTGTTCCAATTCATCAGCCATGTTGGTATGGGAAAACTAATCCTGTTGAACAGTTTGATAACATAACTCCAGATAGTATCCTTGTGGGGTACTGAGCAGATCTACTAATCGAGGAAAAACTTAGTTTACAAGGGTCTGTGCTGTCTTAAGTAACTATGCATATATACTACGTGGATTATTGGACTGAATGACACTGGTAAGTGTGTCTGATTTTTAAATGGGTATTGAGAAAGCAGGAGAACATCTGGAAGAGGTAACACTTAAATAATATTATTTCTCCTCAACGAAGAGTCGTTGTTGTACAATGTGACAGAAAGTTTGTGGTTTCAGAAACTGATTTTCTGTTCCCTGTATACTGAATAAAGAAACCTTTTTTGGCCTCCCTTTTTTCATTTGTAGATTTTATTTCATACATTAAAGTTGTTATACTTTTTTATAGGTTAAGGACGATAGTCAAGAAATAGCAAGCATGGAGAGACAGTGAGTAATCCCCTTACACTGTTGATGCAGATTACCCTAAGACAAATGATTGAATTCCAGCACATATTTTTATGGGCTTCTAGAATACCACCACATTTTTGAACCTCAGCTAGTGTTAACCTTCCACAGAGAGCAGAATATAGCCATGTGTTTCAGCTAAAAAACTTTTATAGTAGTAGGACATTTAGATCTACATAAGAAGGTACTTCCTATCTTTGATAACATGCCTTGAGAATATTAATTGATATTGGATATAAATGTCTTTAAGGCTGAAGAAGACATTCATCTGTAAGAGCTGCTCCTCTGGGGCTACATTATGCTACAGTCACATTTTGAAGAGTTTGTTTGTTACGTGTGCTTAAAAGCAAAGAGTTATAAGGTTGCTTACAGAATGTTCAGTTTTGAAGAGTAACGAGGCATTGTTTCTTGATTTTTGAGTAGTGTACCTTTCTGAACATTTGCCAGAAACTCTGGTAAATGTTATAAGAAATAGTTATGTATTGGGAAGGGAGGTGAAACGGTACAATATTTCTGTGGTTTTGAGCCTTTTGATTTGTCTGTCTTTACAAAAAAAAAAGATATAATGTCTGAAATGTCCTAGAAACAATTGTAGATTCTTTTAAGCAGTATTCCCAACTGTAACCATTGGTTAATTTTTAACTCATTGATAATTTCAATTGGATAGTAAGCTGCTTACCAGATTTTTTTTTCAAAAGAAGCGGTAATATTTGAGAATTTACATAGAAATGTTTTTAAGGTAATTTTCTTTGTCTCTGATTGATTGTGAAATAGGGTGTTTTACTTGGCAACTTCTTAAGGGACTTTAGTGAACATGTAGGTAATTTTTAAGGAATAGTGCTCCTTGGTGCAGTTTACCAGTGTTGTACTTCTGCAAAGCTGTACAGCAACCAGCAGAGGGACAAGTTCAGTAAGTTAAGAACTACTAATGACTCAACAAAAACTGTTTTCAGTAAAAAAGAGCAGCAGAACTTATATTTAATAGATACAGAGTCTAAAGTGATAGGTGTTTTACATACACCTTTTTATAATAGCAGCAATACTGATATACTTTTGGTTTGGATAAACTTACGTTTGCTATTTCTGTTCTTGAGTTTTCTCTCCATTTTTGTCTAAAAAAAATAAGGTTTTTACAACACATTTTTAACCTTGGATTTCATTATCTATTTGTCAGGCTGACAGAAGTAAAAGAAAAAACAAATCATTTTAAAAAGGTCATTCAACGACTTGATATGGATCTGGAGAATCACCAAGGTACTGTGACTACAAGCAGACAGAATTCAGTACTACTTTTATCTGTCTTTGGAACTTCTTGGGTAGATCTTTGCAAGAATAGTTTGGGAGCTGCCTAGACATGGCATCAGCTCAGAAACTGGCTTTCCAGCAAACACCTGCTGTAATGCCGTAGTCTAGGTGGGGATTTCTCCTCACACTGGACATTATGGCTCAGGAGGAAGTCATTGAGATTGAGCCTAGGCCCTCAAGAGCTGTGGAAAATTCTCCCTAAAATGGTAATTCGTCCCATGGAAAACCTTTTAGTTATAAGGAATTTTGTTTGTATAGGAGTTAAATAAACATGTGTGTACATTCTGGAAAACTTTGGGATGTGTTATTTAAGTTCTGTAGGACCAAGGAATTAATGTGTTTGTGTCCCTTTTTCCTTCATACCTTTCTCAGACAACCAGTGTAAAGTTTAGCTGCAAATTGCTTCAAGGTGAACAAATATTTCTAAAATTGAGCCTAAACAAATTTTTGATACATCTGTTTCTCATCTTTTGCATTACAAAATATTTCCTATTTCTCCAGACCCTTAACTATTTTTGTGCAAATTATTAAGACTGTTTTATTAGCTTTCTTGTTTCCAGATAATATCATGGCCAACTTTACTGTTCTGCTTTAACTTTTCCTTTTCGTTTGTCGTGCATCTCTTTTTTTGTATCTTTGGAGAAACGCAGAAGGTAAGAAGTGAGTTGCTTTTCACATTATGTAGTTAGGTTAACACGTACAATCATTTGTTGCTGGACTGTGTGTCTGTCACTGTTACAGAAAAGGACCTCTGTTAAAGAAGAGGGTTTAAAGCATATGTAGGAGAAAGCTCCCTGTCAACATATCAGGAACAGTCAGGATATTGAGAATAAAGTTACCTGGTGGTATAATATAGAGGGAATTGTATCTGTTGATATAACATAGAAGGAATAAAGAAGATATTCATAAGGAGCAGCTTCAAGGCATAGACATCTAAACTCCTGATGCCCTCTTCTCTAGTGAATGGAGATAGAATCCCAGAAGGCCATTGCTAATTCTGCTCTAAATCAACATTTTGATGTGTCTTTGAGGTTCCTGTCCTCCCTCCACAGTCATCTTACTTCTTGCGTAGTATTTAAACTCTGTTACAAAAGTATTCCAAAAATCTCAGTTCCTGAAGTGTTTTTAGTTAAATTTAATGTAAAATAGCCAGGGGGAAAAAAAAAAAAAAAGACAACTTAGGATTTTTTTTTAGTTTGCATGTGAAGCTAAGATATTGATGTAATAATGTCATATTTTAAAGAAAAACTTATCAGTAAAGACATTTTAAAGGTTGTGGTCTTTACTTCATGCATTTTATTTTCATTAAACACTTGGCAGATCATGTAGCTCTCTGCTTCATAGTTCACTCTAACTAGACTTTTTAAGAGCAGAACAGACTGAGTTATTAAGTATTGGAGGCTTGCCTTGCAAAATGAAAGAGTCCAGCAAGGAACAAAGCCACAGCTGCAAGGAAGCTGAAGCAGAATCACAGTCTTTTAGGGACCCATGGGTATTCTTATTGTTTGTATATGATAGATAAAAAGGAAAGCACAAGGAAAAAGACAGGGAGAAATTTGCTTGCTCACATGTATCTGTATCTACTTCATTCTGTTTCTTTGTATTCCTTAATGTTACAGCATTATGCTGAAAATTAAATCAACAACCAAGGCTCAAACAATTACAAATTTAGATGTTTGAAACTGAAAATTATTCTTAGGAGCGGAATTGTCTTATCTTCCTGAAACTTGTGACAAGTATATCATGGCTCACACTTTACCAGTACATATTAATTAAGAGCTATTTATAGTCAATAGTTAGATTTAAGGATGAAGTGAATTATATATTTCTTTACTCCTAATACCATTATAAAGAATGCATATGGAAATGTTCTCTTAAACTAAATTGTAGAAAGCTTTCCTTACATTATTATTTTTACATTTCTTATACCATAGCTTGTACAGTTTTCCTGTTTATTTCCCTGAGATTGTTGACTCTTGCTTACAAGCTTCATATCCTTCTGAAGGTCTGTGGTAGTATGTGAAAGTGCCATTGAAACTGCTCGTGTTAAACAGAGCTGCTGAACGTTTTAACTAACCATGGTGCCCAAATACACAAAGGCCTTTGTTTCTGTAAATGAAATTCATCTGACCTCAGAGAATTCAAACTAGTTATTTATCCTACTATTATTTATCAAAAATTCTAACCTCTGAAAGTTTCTAAAAAGTGCATTGAGTCTGATTTATTAAGGTAGTTACCTTTTTTTTAATGTAAGAATGTACACGACAGTCAGCTGGAGGGACTACATTAAATAACATGGGATGAATCCTGCAGTGTCTAGACATGTAGAATTTTATTTCTAAAACTGACATTTTGGCTACCAAAGGGAATCCACAGCTGAGACAATATAAAGTTAAATCAATGTTACATCTCTTTCAGGAGAGGAAAATTGGAAATACAAGGAGCTGAAGAAGAGGGAAGAGAGCATGGACAGTAAGTTTTTTAATATAATTAGACCTAATTCCACTAAAATACAGGTTTTATTGTATTCTTAACACTCAGACAATTTATGGTTGGAAAGAACAGATATCCTGGTCTTTGCATAAATGTTCTGTGACCTACCTCGGGAAAAGATAATTCATATCTTAGGACTTACAGGACAATCACAGATATTTGGAGCATCCTCCGAAGCTTTTCACCAAACGTTAAAGGTCTTAGGAACGCATCTTGATTTTACGAAAGCAAGGCTGAAACTAGCTTTGAAATTAATTGAAGTTTAAAATCTATAAAACCTGTTTGAGCCTGATGAAAAGCAAAACTTCAAAACAGACAAGCATAAACACCATGTAATTCTTAAAAACTGGAGCTTTTCATATCTGTTCATTCGAGATGAACCCTACTAAAGCTTTTTTCATATTAAAATGTTCTAATGTTGTAGAGACCTCAGCAGCAACTAACCAAGGGTGAAAACAGAACTGTTTTTAAAATACACCCCATTGCTAGTAGACTGTAGTAGGCAGCTTACTCAGCAAAAGGAGAAAATGAGGAATAAATATTCCATGAAGGCCAAAAACTGTAATAATAGAATAGAATAGAATAGAATAGAATAGAATAGAATAGAATAGAATAGAATAGAATATTACCTTTTTGTAAGGATGTTCTCTAAAAATGTCCAATATAACTTACGGCCAGCATGATACTGGAAGAAGGTCTCAGGTGACCACAAGGAAAGATGGGTAAGAATGAACTTAGAGGGTTTCTGCATTTTCAAATTGCCTGATTTCCTAAGAAGCAGAAAGGCAAAAGCTGTCTTCATCTTGATTTTCAGTATGAATAAAGACTGTGAAAGTGAGGCCTCGTGATCCTTTTGACATTTGTTTCTTCTCTGCCCTTCATCAGAGGATATTGGTGCAGTTCCAGAGGTGTTTAACTGAGAGATTTGGGAGAACATACAGGAGTCTTAAAGGCGGGAAAAGAGCAAATATGGTAGGAGGAGCCAGGGAAATGTAGACCAGTCAGCTTAGTATCAATTTTCAGCAAGTGTGGAAAAAATAAGCAAGCGAACAATCTGTAAACATTATAGAAAAAGGAATATGGGTAACACTAGTATTGATTTGTCAAGAACAAACAACTAATTTCCTAAAAATATTGCATAATAAGGGAGGACCAGCAGATAATGTGTTTGTTGACTTCAGTACATCTTCTACTACTGTCTCATGGCATTCTTAGAAGCAAGCTGGGGAGATATTGTCCATTATCAACTTGTACTGTGCACTTGATTGAAAAAAAAACGATTAATTGTGAAGAATTTACTGCCAAGATGGAGGGATGTATTGAGTAAAGTTTTGCAGTGTGTTGGATGTTTAGGTTAGTCAATATTTTATTAATCAGTTGAGTGACAGGAGAGAGGTTAAATACATAGTTTCACTATGTTTCTGATTACTAGTTCACAGCAGTGTTGGCAAAAGGAAAACCTTACATTGATGTCAAGTACTGTTCTCTACAATTACTAATCAGTGTCAAGTGGACCAAAAACTTCTTTGAGCCAACTGAGTATGCATCAGAACTAGTAATTATTTTTATCAATCAGCTGTGCATATTATAAATGTGGTGTCTAATACCATTCATTGACCTGTAAGAATCCCAAAAGTCTTTGAGGCTGAAATCTCCACCTCAGAGATAGTCTTTGTATATCTTAATATTGTCCCCTGGCTCCAGTAATGTGCATTTTACACTCTAAAAATTTTAGAAGCTGTACTCATTGAAACATCTCTGTTAATACTTTCATGGACAGCATTGCAGATTGTCAGATATTACAGCAGTTTTCAGAAAAAAAACTTATTAGAGAATGATTTTTAAATTATGTATTTTTTTAAAAATCCTGATTATTCAGGGATCCACAGTTCTCTAGTTCAGGATTTGTCAGTATTTCCATTAAGTAATCCCTCCTGTCTTCCTTCTGTCTTCCAGTCTTCTTGAATTTGCTGTTATGTGATCATTCTTGTTCAAACAAGCCTGTCCCCCCTCTTTTCATCCAACTAGAGTGTCTGCAAACTCTTGCAGAAATCTCTGCCTTAGAGATAGTCTTTGTATATCTTACAAACATTCCCTGAGTGCTCCTGTATATATAAGCCGTGTTTCAGGAGGAGACCCAGCAGGAGAGGGAGGATCGTAATTTACAGCCCTGGATGGCATCTTGACGGACCTCTGACTTCCGTGTGATGTGTCCAGCACCTTTTTTTCAATATGTATGTCACCACAAATACAGTGTCATGTATGCCTAGGGCAGAAATACAGAATATATACCACCATTACAGCTGTCTTGTCAGATTCAGTTGGACATTTACTAGAATGAACACAAAGATGTAGCAAAGGGACAACAGAAAGAAAGAGGTGATACCAGGTGAACATTAGCCTCATGTCGTTAGCTGTGCATGGCGTTTAGCCCAGGCCATTAGAGATAGTGGAGTCACCTGTTTCCTTTGTTTAGTAGCCCAGTTTGATAGCTTTCAGAAAAATTGAGATCAACAGCTGCTGGGACAAGTATTCAGAAAGGTGTCAGAAATAATGGTTATGAAGCTCCTTTCCCATTGGGTGACAGTCCTCACCTAAACAAACAGCAGGTGTTAACCTCATGTCTTTAAATAGTCAAATATGTGTCTCTGGCAGAATTGTTCTCATTTTTGTTCCAGCCCTTAAGCTGACAAATTTCAAGGACTCTGCCACCTGTCCAATAAATAAATTACTAAAGTAGTGTCTCTGAAATTGTACAGCTGATCAATTTAGCATCAAGTTTTGACTGGAAATTGCAGGCATTTGTGCTGTACCCAGGTACGTAGCAGCCTTTATCATGTTCATCGATCTCTAGATTTTCTTGAGACTTTTGAAGAGGTGAAGAATCAGGAACTGCAGCGAAAGGCCCAAACAGAAGCCAACATTGTTGCCCTCCTGGAGCACTCAAGCAGGGTAAGTGCATTTCCCTCCTCCTGTGGCAACCTAGGAATTTAGAAATACAGAACAAAAGAATGATTGGATGGATAAAGAAGGATGGTGGGTGTTATATATTATCCAGTCATTTTCTGCATTAATAATCTCCTGAGAGACTTGAACATCAAACCACGTACAGTTGTAATTAAAAAACAAAAATAGTTTTTTTCTTTATTTCTGGGGAAAGAATTTTGAATAGTAGGAAATGCTTGTGATCAGAATAACAGAAATGTTTGCATCGTTGTTGCAACTCATCATCTGTGCTGTAACAAATATTAATCCATTCATGATAAACATTTCAGAACACTGCAAATAAAACTACTGCAATGTTCTGTTTACCTAAATTCTACTGCTCTCAGTTCACGGGTATTTCTGTCACTACTGCTAAGTAACTGGCAATAATCCGACCATCTCTGTCTTAAAATTATGTCAGGAATACCCTGCTGTGTAATGCTTCATGTAAATGCCTTAGAAATTGGCCTCTTTGCAGTTTTTGCCATTTTTTTCACTTTCAAAATGTTTTTTTTCTTGTAACATTTTTGTTTCTCATGGATTTTTTTGCATCACAGGAAAATTTCAGTGGAATAATACTTCGATTATATCATCACTTTAATTCTCTTCTAACTCTTTTGGTATGGTATATCATAAGCTTTATTTTAGGCAATGACACTTACATTAGAGTAGATTGATATGGCAACACAGTTTATACTTAATGCGTTTTTGTTTCATCTTCACTGGCCTGTCAATACACCTTTTACCAAAGCTTGGCAGAATAAAAATTATTCACACTTAAAACTTCTCAGGCTATTTCCAGTATTTTCAATCCCTCTGGTAAAAATGCCAAATAATAAACAATGTACTGGGACAGGAGACTTTTTTTATTTATCCAGTTATCAGTCGTGGTTTCAAAGATACAGCATGTTCTCATTATTGTTACTGTTAACACACAGAATGTGAATCGTATGAAACAAATTTCATCTGTTACTAATCAAGAGCTGAAGATTATGCAGGAAGACCTCACTTTCAAATCAAATGAAATGCAGAAATCACAGAGCACTGCAAAGAATCTGATTACAGGTGAGATTAGAAATTAATTTTCAAATTCATTCCGTAAATTAAAATTACCTGAGTTGTTACACTAATAACTAGTAAAAGATAGTGATCTCAGGTATAAAAATACAGTGGCAATTTAACAAATTGAAACTCTTATGAGTAACAGGTCATTTGTAGTCCTTAGGAGTATTTCACTTACTATTACCAGTAAATTACCAGCTTCCTTGCATAGATATATATTAAAAATATGTATTTTAATACAGGGGTATAAAGTTTTTTCAGCTAGAAGTTTGGATTTACTAATATTCACCTCAAAATAAACATTTTTCATTATCTTAAAATAGTGTTTAGTAAGTTTGAGTGTAGACTTCTGCAGTTATCTGACCATGTATTATTGGTAAATGTAGTTCTTAGTGTCATTTACTTATAGTTTGTGCTTTTCTAAGGAGATGGGTACCATGGGATAATAACTGCTTCAGCTCAGTCTTCACTGCA